AGGACCAGGATTGCCCACCCCTGGTGTAGCTATACAAACACTGAAAAGGTGTTAAAATCAATTCTGTGGGAGTTAAATCAACACTGGGCATTATTACTGATAAAGTTTTGCAAAACTAACATCCCAATAAATTATTGTGCAGACTAACAGTGAAATAGCAGCACACCAAAAACACTCTGTCACATTAAAAAGAAACTGCTGGAAAACAAAAGTACAATTCTTGTGTAGGAGACCCAGATGTTTTGGCCACAAAATAAGTCCAAACCATCAAACTTCCACCGCTGTGCTTCATAGTAGATACAAAGAGATTCTGCTGATTTGTTGTTTGGTTTCCAGTAAATGTGTTCCTTTAAGTTACACTTAAACACTTCCACTTAAAAATATTTTATACGATATATTTTCTCAGAAGTCCAGCTGTTTGTTCTGTTGCAGCTTTGTTACTTAAATCTGTTTACCTTTGATTTTAATAAAGATAAGTGGCATTCACCTTGGCAGCTTTTCCTAAACTAAAGGTCAATGTTCAGTCTTTTCCTAATTAAACTGTCAAGAATTTTATTTTAGATTTAACATGCCATTTGTAGGATCTAAAATGCTGCTCTTGGGATCTTTACAAAATTTTCAGAAAATTGTTTTGGCCTTAGAGTGAACTTCATGGAACATTTGTTTCTGGGAAGATTGGCAGCTTGGTTGAATGTTTTTAACTTGGGAATAACTTCCCACCCCCTTCATTTTCAAATGCTCTTAGTCCAGATTGTTTGAAAATTGACCTTGACCCTTCCCACATTTATGAGGTCATTACTGGTTTTATTTTTTTGATTATTATTTTTATTTTTTTGACATGATTGTCCCTCACCAGCAACGTCGTGGAAAGAGATCCCAGGACCCAAACGGAGGAGTTTTCATGATCCAAACTTGATTCCCTCCTAACACTGATTTAAAAGACAATAATTCAAGAAAGCATTAAAAGTCATTCTGTGAAGAGGATCTGACAAACAAAGGAGAAACTGAAGCATATAAATGAACTGGGAGAGGGGATGGGTGAGAAAGAACAGGTGAGAATTCAGAGCAGGTGGTGAGAAGGAGGCAGCTGAGAAATAAAGAATAAAATGAAGCAAACTGAAATGTGAATCTGTGAAAATGTTCCCACTTTGTCAGAGATCATGCACTCCGATAATCAGTCACAACATTTGGTTAGTGGAACATGACTACCACTACCCTTTTTAATAATTACAGAAGCAGTGAGGATGAACATGAGTTTTCTACATGATGCATTTGCATTTTGTGTGACAAGTGTTAACATTGATTTACTTGTTTTAATGTTTTTTATTCATTCCAGGTTTTATTTGTCTTTTTTTTTTTAAATATCAGCATCAACACAAAAACTGTTGGATAATTTGATCTGTGATTCTTTGGTTGTTCATGTTGCTGTGACTCCTGTATTTAAACACTTATCAACGTTTAAAAAAGGCAACAGAAACATTGAGAAAATTATATTTTACCTTTTTATTACACTGGTGATTTAAAATAGAAAAATGATTCAAAATTAATTTTGCTCATGTTTGATGATGACACAGATGACAAAAAGCTTCCATCATCTTTTACCTGCGTCTTCCTTTCAGGGTCACGGGGGTCATCATGGACGGGTTGCTGTGGAGGTTTGCTGCTGCTGCTGCTGTTTTCCTGACTAATTGTTTTGCAGTTCATTGAGAGTTCGGTGGGCGGAGACTGGATGGACTCACCTGTACATTGTCTGCTCTGATTAATCCTGAGAGTATTTCAGTCGCCTTCTGAGATCCATCCGACGCTGGATTATTCAGTTGCCCATGGTACTATTTAAGACGGCCTCAGTTTAATTCTTTGAGAAAACTAATTTAACCCTTGTTGTATTTCTCTTTTCTACACCTACCTTGTATTCAGGCTGGACTATCCTGATTCCCCTGGTGACTCCACAGTTGGTTCTTATCCAGACTGTTGGTTATCTCACTTCAAGACTGAAGTAATTCATCATCCTCTGCCCTGCCTCTCTCTCTCTGTCTCTCTGTCTCTCTGTCTCTCTGTCTCTCTGTCTCTCTGTCTCTCTGTCTCTCTGTCTCTCTGTCTCTCTGTCTCTCTGTCTCTCTCTCTCTCTCTCTCTCTGTCTGTCTGAAAACTGCAAAAGACATATTGGAAATTACCTGTGTTGGATCCCAAACAAAGAACCTCTACAAACCTCCTTGTCCTGGTCAGCCTCCTCGCCTGGATCCTGTAAGAAAGAACTAATTAACACATTCAACACCTTCAAAACACTTACCAGAGAACATCATCCTAAACCACCTTTTCTTTTGTTTTTTCAGCAAGAAAACCTGGACCCATTCACTGTACAATAAATTCACTTATCTTTCATCATTTTTGTCTTGTCCTGTGTTCCTCACCAGTTAAGTTAATTTTGGGAACTCTTTAAAAGAACAAAACGTAACAGTTGCAAGTCCATTACAGCAGTGTTTCCCAAAGTTGGGGTCGGGACCCAAAGTGGGGTCCTGAAAAGATTTTCTGAATTAATTACATTTTTTGCCTTTATTGTTACAAAGGAGTGAGGTTAGTATGTTTAAAATGGATAAATGTAGTATAAAAATATTGTTTCTATGCCCATGTTTTGTTGACCTGATACAAATGTTCATCATCCAAAAATAGTTGGGGGCACAGGTCTCTGCTACTGTTATTTTTTGGGTCAAAAGCTGAAAAGTTTGGGAACCACTGCACTTTGGTTCCCAAAGTTGGGCTTGGGACCAAATTATGGGTCATGAAGCACCTTGGATAATCTCCAGAAATCAATTTAAAGGCTAATAAAATAATTGCTGATGTAATAATTTCCCTATAATTATTACAAAAACACAAACTAAGTATAAGTATTTATATTTGTGTACAAGCTGTTTAGATTGTCAAAAAGCCTGTGTTTTAGGGTTATTAACAAAGTTTGTGTACTCAGACCAGTAATATTTGGGGTCACAAGTTTTTGCCATGGATATTTTGTGGGTCAGAAGATACAAAGTTTGGGAACCACTGCATTACAGGGCCACAGAGAAATACTTAATCTCACCTATAGGGACAATTTAGACTTACCAATTAATCTAACAGTTATGTTTTTGGAGAGGAAAGCAGAGTGCCTGGAGAAAATCCATACATGCACAGAGAGAACATGCAAACACCATCCAAAAAGGTCCTGGGCCAGGATTTGATCTGGTAACGTGCATACTGTGAGGCAACAGCAACTGTCACTGTGCTTCCTTAAAGCAAAAAAAAGGGTTCCAGATACTAAAACAAAAAAAATTAATAAATGAATTAAATTTTAACTAACCCCTAAAACTTTCCTGATGCATCTCAGTAATCCAGGCAGAAAAAAAAAAAACAAAAAGAAAAAATATGTCTCTGGATGGGTTCTTCTTCAGTGAAACGTTTCGTCTCTCCTCCAAGAGACTTCTTCAGTCTGATGAGTTTCAGGTGAAACTCAGCCTTAGCCCTGCCTCCACCTGGACAAACAGGTTAGTAATATGCAAAATAGTCCCATCAAATAACAATAGGCTTGATTGACTCTATTGTTCATTCAACTGAAACTCATCAGACTGAAGAAGTCTCTTGGAGGAGAGACGAAACGTTTCACTGAAGAAGAACCCGTCCAGAGGACTTACTTATTTTTTCTTGTTGATTTTTAACCCCTAAAACACATCAAACTCAAGGCCAATGGGGCAAATCTGGTCCTCTTTACCATTTTATCTGGCCCCAAAGCTAATTATTTAAATTCAAACTACTTTTATGGTCTCTCTTTTCATCACTGGATTTAGCGCTTTCTTCTTATGACAGCTGGCCAACTATCAAGCCAAGAAAAAATGAAGTTTGAGTTTTTCATTTTTTGTTTATTTTACTGTGGAAAGAGAATAAAATTTGTTTATCTTTTTTCTGTATTTCCTTCTTATTATAAAGTGAAATAATTGGATTTTTAGTGAGCTTTCTTTTTTACCTGATTTACTGGGTTGTGATAAAATGTATGGATATAATAAATGAGAAAGTGCATATATTTAGTGGGGCGGTATTATGCAAAACTGACTTTTTAGAGCATCATACGTTATTATAAAGTCATTCTCTCATCAAAAACAAACCCAGAGCTGCCTAAACACTTGTTGATAAAAAGCCCCGCCCATTTGTACAAAGCTCCTCCCTACAGCTCAGTCTGCAGCCGAGCTCCCGCCTCACAGAGGACCCCTCCCCCAAAGCATTGTTGTGAAGACGTGCTAAAATGGGAGTGTCTGAAACGGTAGGAGGCTCTTAAAGAGACAGAGGCCACCATAAATGTGTTAAGGTCAGACAAATTTATTTTTGACACCATTTTCACAATAACTGAATATAACAGTTACCTTATTGGGGTATATACTTGAACTATGAGCCTGGAACATATATAATACACCCCCTTTAATTTTTTTTCTTTATCTGTTAGATTCTAACTGCTACATAACACATAATATTTAAAAGGTCATTTCTACTTCTGTAATTTTTTCAAAACTTTTTCAAGAAGTTTTGTGTTCAACACCCCTGCTCTAAAACATGACCTTTGATGAGATTTCTATGAGAAACAACCTGAAATTGTTTGTGTTCCACGAGGGGAACTCTCCTGTTGTCAGCTGCACTCTAGCCACTGCTCATTATAAACACATCCACTTTCTTTTTATAAATAGTTTATAGAGGTAAATCCACACCAAGACAGTGTGCTGGTGAAGTAAAGCATCAGCAGCTGGTGAGCAAAAAAATTTTAAAATAAAACATTCACTCTGCTGAAACAGCTATAACTACAATATGAAACTCTATAGTTGCGAGAAAACTGTTAGTGCACTTAAGATTGCTCGTCTGTAATCTGGCGCTGTAACCGGATAGGCAGGGAGCCTGACGAGTTGACTCACCAGCCACATTTATAGCATACAACACACCCATTACCCACCACGGCAGACACCCCGGTCATCAACTTATCTGATCCACCTCAACAGCTGACTCTAAACTTGTAGCAGTGGAGCAGCAGCTCACAGTGTGTGTGGGAAAGAGGGACGTGAAAGTAGGACAAAGGAGTCTGGCCCCCTTCCCTGTCGAACCATAAGCACAGAGATCTGCGACAGTGGGGGAGAAGACACCACTCCTGGGTGGAGAGGGAAAAGAAGAGGCCAACTTTTCTGTCAGGCTCGCTGCAGTCACTGAGGGGGGACACGTCACTGGGGTTCAGATCAGTGTCTGCGTTGCCGAGTGGCTCAGGTTTGACTCGCGACTGTCCGACGAAGGGGTAGCTGAGCAGGAAGCCCACCGCCTGGAAACATGCACAAACGTACCAAGATAAAGATTGCCATCTTTGTGTTGCTGGTGGGCATGGCGTGCATGTTCACAGCCGTGGTGACGGACCACTGGGCCGTGCTGAGCCCGCGGGTGGAGAAACTCAATGAAACCTGCGAGGCGGCCCACTTTGGCCTGTGGAGGTTGTGCAAGAAGTACATCTACATCACCCCGGAAAACTACGTGGAGGGGCACGGCTGTGGACCAATCAGCCTGCCTGGAGGTAAGAGAAAACTTCCTGAGAACCCTAAATATAAAGTCATCATAAAACTGAACTAGTCTATGAAACGTTTACCAAAGAGCCTCACCCTTTAATCAATGAATTATTTTTATCTGAAAGATGTTTCTTGCAACACATCCCCTTCTGATGTATGGAGCTATAACAAAGATCCTAACTGAGGATGTGTCACTTTTTAAACTTTCCAATGAACAGCTAAAGAAGGTTCAGACATGACCTTTTAAACTGCATTAATCTGTGGTAAAAGCTCTGTTTGATTAGTCTTTAAAGTCACATTTCGTCTAATAAATGCAGTAGCATCAAAGGTTGCGTCAATTTATTAAAGTCAACTTTTGCTTTTACCAGAAATCTCAGTTTGGAACAGAAAAAGTTCAAATTAGGTCTGTAAAATGATTAAAATTTTTAGTCTAGTAATTCCAAGGTAGCTGTGAATTAATCACGATTAATCTTAAACTTAATATAAAACTTTATTGCATATTGGTAAAATAAATTACTTGAGTTATTACTACTACATACTACTACTATAGTACTACATGAGGAACGCAAGATAGATACTATGTCACAGTTGTCAGCAAAACATAAATAAATAAAATAAAATAAGTCATAAGAAGACAAAAAGAAAAAAACTGTACATAATGTGTTACACATGGAGGTTTTTATATTATTTATTTAACCTTTATTTATCAGGTAAACTGTTTGAGAACCACTTCTCATTTACAAACATGACCTGACACTGAGTGCAGTGCAATATACAAACCTACAAGTGACTGTAATAATAATAGCGATTAAAACTTTTAATCTATGCCCACGCAGCACTAAAATTAATCAGAATTGACTCGATTAATTTCACAGCCCTACTTCAAATGTGTCCCCATACTTGCTGGGAAAGTTGAAGACCATTAAGTTTAGCAGTTTTGGTGAAATCACTGGATTTTTCCCATTGACATACTGTATTTGACGGTTATTGATGGTCACAACTTTCTGTTCAAATCACTGAACTTTGTTTAAAGAAAAAAAACATCCAGATCTTTATTATTACTCTTTGTCCCAACAAAGCAGACATTTTGACCTCAGCTGAGTATATTTACTATATGTTGACTGCTGTTATGTAATTCAGACCTTGTATTTGAGATGATGCTGTTTGTACAACTTTGTTGTTTTCTCAGCAGGATTCTATAAAAACTGCTGACAATTTCTTAAATCTAAGACTAAATTTGGAGTATGTGTAAAGAAAAACTAAATGTTTTACACAACAAAACAAACAATTTTGCTGGCGCTGGATGACTCTGTTTATGCTTTGAGTTTATTAGGAAAATAACATGTTCAGCATGCATTCGTATGATAAAATGTTCTAAACTAGTACTATTAAATAGTTCCCATGAGTATTTAAACAAATTTATATACAAAACTATTATGTTAACAGCATTAGTAAAAGTATAAATGTAATCTTTGTTGAAACAACAAAATGTTTAGTGTTAAAACAAAAAGTAGATTTACAGAACTTTAAATGTAACATTTCCTGATTCAAAGATAGAGTTTTGGCATGTGATGTAACTTTAACCCTGATTTTATCTGGTCTGAAAACAGCTGGTGCAACCTAACCCTGAAACACACCCATTCAGAAGTGAGGCTCCTTCAAACATGCTGGACTATTTGTAGGATTAAACCTTAATGAGCCACATAAACATCAGGGAGAAAGCTGTGAAGACTTAACATGTAGAAATTTATTTGAGAAACGTGATCTTGAAAACTCAGGAATCAACAGATTGTGGATAAACACAAAACATAACAGATGAGAAAGTGGTTTTTGTTTTTATTCAGCTGCCAATAATCTGCTGACATTTAACCAATTTGGGTATGTGTCATTGATAAATACTGGTACTGAGTTATAAATGCTTGAACAAATATTCCCACGTGTCCTGCACTTTTGTACATTTTCATTCCACTTCACCTCAAAAGTCCAAGTTTATGAGACATAAATAAAGTAAAGGTCTGAGTTTTTCAAGAGACAAAATGTAAAATATCTAGTTAATCTGATGGAATCAGATCCTCCACCTGCCAAAGTCAACAATTCATACAGTATGTAGGGTGCATTATTTGCATCATCATTGCATTATCTATATAGTTTAGAATATTGTTCCTGCAGTATTTAGCTACATTATCTCTGTTTGCTGTGCATAAAAATCTGTGTAATGTCTGCTTTCAGAGTTACATATTAGCAGTTTATTTATAGCTTAAAATTGTAGTTGTAGTGTATTTTCTATAATATATATTTTACTTTTCTATGAAAGTAGAGGGAATGCTGAGAACTTTGCTAAAATTTGCTGAAGAAGATAAAACTGAGTTGTTAAAGCTCAAAGAAGCAGAACATTAGCTACAAACAAAAAATAAGCAAAAGGATACTAAAAAAAACAAAACTAGCTACAAGCTAAAAGTAGCAACTTTTTAGCTGAACACTTGCTAAAAACTAAAAGTAGCAAAAGGTTTTTCTAAAAGCTAAAGGTAGCAAAAAGCAGGCTACTTGCTATAAGAAAAATAGAACCAGTGTCCTGCAGCAGATTTCAGAGAGGAAATTTTTTTAGAAAGAATAAAAGTAATTGAATGTACTGTATTTCTAAGCATAAAGTGTTTGTAAACATAAACATTTTGAAAAATATATTACTATAGTTACAAAAAACAAATGTAATAGTGCCCATCTCTTGAATGAGATGAACATTTTGATGTCTAAAAAACAAAATAGCCCAAAGTGTGCAGAGGTGGTTAGAGTGCAAAAAATGTAGGTAAAAATAAAAACAATAATTGGTCATCCTTGTTTATTTATGCTAACGTTGAATTTATTCGTAATAAAAAATATATTTCCACTGTTATGAACACTTTTCTAATTTTCAGCCACTATATAAAGGTCATGCATATTTTGAAACTTTAATTGGCTCACCTTGTAAACATCCCTGTGTAAACCTGAGCTTGGTTGCTTTGGCAGCTGCTGCATTAAAGCACAGACTGTAATCGAATAAAATGGATAAAAACAATGTTGAGCTGCTGCCGACCGCAAATGGCTCCCACGTTGAGGGTCCGTGATGGGAGTCGCTCAGCTGTGGCACGCTGACCGTCATCTGAGAGGCAATTATCGGACTGTGTCAGACAATTGCCAGGCTTTTACGTCAGGGTTTGGAGACGAGGATGCAGACAGCCCTAACAAATCCCTGCTACTTACAAAAACAAACCGTTCGTTTTGCTGTTGGGACTGCTGTACACTGGTGGCACTGTAGGGGATTTTCAGGAACAGATGAAATGCCTGAGGTGGGGTTTATTGGTCCAGACATGTACTGATTCTAAATAAGTGCGACCCACCCAGACGCCTGGGGGATTCTTTAAATTAAAATAAGTGGCAAATATTTCTGATAATGCAGCCTTCTCCACTAATTGCTTTTGTTTCTCCTCATTTATTATATAAAGTAAAGATAAAAGTCATAATCTGTTGCTCAGCCATTTGGATCATTTATTAAATTATACTCTAAACATTGGAACATTAGAGGCTGCTGTAGCTCAGTCCTCGGTGCTGCGGTCTTGTATAGTTGTAGAAAGTGGCCTGCAAAAACACCAACTCTAAATACTGTAATACAGGGTGAGTCAAAAGTCGCAGGACACCCTTTTATTTCAGAAAGAAAAGGGAAAATGACATCTCTGAATACCCCAGCAAACAACGGATGAGCAGGCCTACCTTATGTCTAACATGGCCACCATCTTAAAAGCCGCCATATTGGATCAAGCTTTTGTAAAGATACACTTGCTGATGTAAATAATTTTCCCTTTTCTTTTTAAAATGAAAGGGTGTCCTTTGGCTTTTACTCATCCTGTATAACAGATACATGCACCACTCAACACATGCAGTAGCTTCCATGCCTACAACAACACACGACATGTTTCTGCCTCTTTAGCTGCTTTTATCTGAGTGAGAAATTCTAACAGATGTCCCATCAGTGTCCAGGGTCCAGTGTCCCAGTCTCTGTATTTGGAGAGGAACATTATGTTTATGGTAGCCACAGGTCGTCAGGGAAGTGTCAGTCTCCGATACAAAGCAGGACTCAAACAGCACGCGAGATGATCCTCTACAATCAGACACGCAACTGCAGTGTTGTATACCACAAAGTGATACTTGAGTAAAAGTACAAGAATCTTATCAAAAAATTACTTTGGTAAAAGTTAAAGTCTCCTTTAGGAATTTTACTTGAGTAAAAGTCTTAAAGTATCTGATATTTTTTGTATTAAAAGTAAAAATATCGGTTTTAAATGAGCAGTTAGATTTTTCGTAATGACTATTACATGATTTGTGTACAAACTAATACAGTATCAGAATCTTAGAAAGTACAGATAGTAGAAAGTAGAAAAGTAGAAAAGAAGTAGAAAGTACAGATAATTGTGTGAAAATGTAAGAAGTAAAAAGTAGGCTGAAAAATAATTACTCAATTAAAGTACACATAGCCAAAAATTCTACTTAAGTACAGTAACAAAGTACTTGGTTACTCTACAACTCTGTGCAACTGGAAAATATGGGTTAAGTTCTTGCATGAAGCAAATACAAAGTAAACAAATGGCTTGTGTATAATGCTAATTTGCCTTGCAATGTTGTGTGACAATTTTAAAAACATGTCTGCAATGGTTTGTTTTAATTAGGATCCCTTGGTATTTTGATATTCAGCGATGTTCATAACATCGGCTGTGAAGAAGTCAAGTTACATGACTCTTATTTCAGTATTAATGTGGTTCTTGGAACCCTCAAAAAATTCAAAGGAATTAAGTTAAGGTAGACTTAGAGAGTAACAGCCAGCCAGCCATTAAACATGTCGACCAGACACAGGAAGGACGCCATTTATTTTTCTACATTGTGGTCAGCCCATCATTGCTGTTGCTGTAAAAATAGGCCACGTAAATACTCAGCTGTGCTGGGTCAGAGCCATGACGGTCAAGTGTTCACGCACAAGCCCAGCATCTCTCTGAGTGACAGGACCGCCTGACACCGCCCAGCATAACTCTGGGGCCTGCGCCTCCACCCGGCTCTTCCCTCAAGACCTTCCTGCTGCTTCGTGACTCTTTGCAGCCCACGTAGCCACTCGGGTTACCGCACATTCTCTGCACGCATGGTTCAAAAAAGACGTGGACTCCGTGGTATTTTGCTCCTAACACCACTCAAGTATCATACCACCCTGCCACAAATGGAGACAAAGTGACAGTTATGTCGTCAAGACCTATAGAGAAATATTTACATACAGAATGTGGTTCAGGACAATTCCTTTATCGGTACTGAAAAGTATATTTTATTCACACACTCTAAAAGGCCAGATTAAGCCATGAAGGCTATGTTTCCTTCTGTAGTCTCTTAGGTTGATGGTAAAGCAAGAAGTCAAAATAACAAACGCAGACATACAAAAACGACAAAAAAAAATTTTTTTTTAAGTTGCCAAAATGCACCTGCTCAGAAATCTGGCCCAAACATTCCCATTGCTTTGGACAAACTGAATTGACAGCAGAAAATAAAACATTGTGATGTGACAATGTGCAGGGAAGCTGCTAATCCCATGTCCTCACCTGATCCTTGGAAACATGACAGACTGGCTTATTCGGATCAACAAAGGAGTTGCCCAACTCATCAGCACAGCCAGCAGGACGAGAGGCCACAACACTGATCGCTAACAGGAAAATCCTTTTTTTCCGGATGAAAAAGGGTTAATTTTTGAAAAGTCATGGATTGAAGACCTATGGGATTAAAATATTTGGGTACTGATGATGCTACTACTAAACTGTTACATTCTGTCTCCTGAATGGGTGTTCTGAACTGTAATTTCATTATGCTCTGTACAATGACAATAAAGGTTTATCTTATCTTAACCCAACTATTAGCTCGTCTTTCAGTCACTCAGCCCCTGGACATTAAAATCTCTCCCACCATCTCCGTTTTCAAATCACACATTAAAACTTTTCTTTTTAAACAGGTATGTTCAGTTTACCTTCCTTCTCACATTACCTCTATTTAAGTTTTGATTTTAATGATGTTTTACTGTTATTTTTATTTGTTGTTTTATTCTTTTGTTTTCTACTGCATTTAATATTGTGTTTTATTGCATGGCAGGGTTATTCAGCTAAATCGCTGAAGGGGCCAGAGATGCTCAAACCCAACAGCTCAGGGGCCAGGCATCAGGGGACGGGGTGGGTGGCGTTGCCCGATCATGGTTGGGGAAATACTGCATTATATAAAAGAACATGGGTATCTTTTATATTTTAAATTTGTTGATTTTGTTGCATTGACTCATACAACAAACACACAAACAAACAACAAAAAATATTTAAAATCCATTTTTTTTAAATTAAATTAAGCTGAAAAGGGAATTGCCTCATTGGCAGGCCGGACAGAGATCACCCACTGGCCAGATGTGGCCTGCGGACCACCAGTTTAACAGCCCTGTTGTGTGGTGTCCTTGAGTGTCATGAAAGGCGCCTTTAAATAAATAATTGCTGTTATTATTGCTAATAATGTGCCTTTAATCTGCTTAAATGAACATGAAAAAATAAAATCCTCCTGAATTGGATTCATTTTTTAAACTGATAAAAAAAGAAAAGAAACGATTAAAGACACAAAACATGTTTTTCATGTTGCCAGTTTTTACCCACTTATAAAATTTCCGAGCTGTCCTCCAACCTTTGCCTCCGACTCCGAGCTTTGACTCAGAGCTACAACTGGTTGACGAGCCTTTATCACACCTCCTGTGTGTCATCGACACTAAAAACAGGGAGGCTTGTTGCTTAGTAACAACCTATGTGCTTCTCTTTTATGTCCAGTCCCTGTCCTCATTCATAAAAAAAACATCTTTCATTTTTCTTTCTTTTTTGAACACCAGCTCACAGGATATGGCACACAGCACTAACAGCTTCTAATTTTTGTAAACATTGCACTGCTGACTTTTGTGTTTATGCCTCTTAGTCTCATTTTTATAACTTTCACCTTCTTACAGCTCCCTGTTCAGGCGTGAACATCAGCACCAGCTCTTTTTATCATGTGACAGCATGTTTTCTAACATGCAGCCACGTGACAGCATGTCATGTCTTTTGTGTCTGTCTGGAAGCAGATTAGTGGTGTGTTCGAGTGCTGCACTTCGAGATTAAAGCTTTCAGCACATATGATAATTCAAGCTGGTAGTTTTTTTTTTTTTAACTGAGAAACTCATGTTACATGAATGAGGATTTGTGTGTCGTGTGCGAGCCGAACTGTGTGCTCTTCTCGCACAGTTTTAGCTGTTTAAATTTTTATAATCTTGAATTCAAATGTGTGATTTAAAGGAAAATGTAAAGGGTGGGGGGAAAAAGGCATAAAACCCAGCATGTTTCCAGACTGAATTTAATTATTTAAAGACTTTGTACAGCATCAAAGTGCACTTCCCCACTATGAGGAACATGCGAGGCAGCTCGGCTTTATTCGAACAAATCCTAAAGGTTTAACACCTCGTCTGCGGGAGGACTTTTAACTCACTGCAGACCACGCTTCTGAACAGCAACCAGTGTTGAAGTTACCCAGGGGTGGGTGTCAGTTAGAGGCTGCTTTAAGAGGATAAAAGTGAGATCCCAGACAATGTGAAGTGGTCAAAAAGAAGCGCCGTGTTCACCAGGTCTGAGCGGCAGGTGGAGTTCAGATAAAAATGTGCAAAAGGAAGTGAGGTGAGAGTCAAGGACTGTTAAAAATGGTTCTTTTGGTAAGGCAGAGAAAGAAAAACAGAGCTTTTCAATGTGATTTGGGATTTTTTTTTTGTCACCGTAAAATAATCTGAAAAAATCAAGTGAGGTAAAAGGTAAGTATTATGAGTGGTCATGTCCTCATTATGGTAAACTGATGGCTCTTTTTTTTAATTCAGAAAAATCATATTTCAGTGATTCCCAACCTATTATCCTCAAAGCCCCATTTTCTCACTTCCAATCCAAGCAGAGTTATTTATAATAAAATTATAAAGTGAATAGTTACAAACTTTTATTTGGAAAAAGAACAGAAAACTGAGTGATACAGAGTTTTAATAATTCAAAGGTACTTGAATATTTGGATATTTCCACAACCTCTGATCAGACAGGGCTATGGGCCCCCCAATGCTTTCTGGCACACTCCTGGTTGGGAACCATTGTGTAATAAGATGAAGCCAAATAAAATTACGCAAAGAAACAAAGGCTCAGAAATGTTTTTATTAAGCACCTGTCCCAGCAATAGGCAAGAGATAATATACTGTAACTGTCTGTATGTGCCTGAGTCTGTAAGCAAAATATTTCATAAATCAATACACAGGATTTACTGATGTTCCCATCCCTGAATGAACGTCTACACAACTTTTGATTCAAAGCGGCTGACTGGCGAACAGAAACGACAATGACTCAGTCAATTTTACAGAAATTGAGCTAAAACTGAAAGCGGTAGTAGCTGAGAGTCATTCCCAACACAAATGTCAAACAATAATAGACCACAAGAGGTGATAAATAGGGGGTGGGCATACTGTGACAAACTCACTCAATTTTTTGAAAGTTGTTGCTTTCAGTGCTTCTGATATTTACTTTTTTTTTTAAAATATTGCACAATAATCCCACCATTCAACCAAAAGTCTTTATAAATAGACATCACCAAATGTTTAAATATCTCATCTATAAGAATAATAAGTACGTATATGATAAATAAATGCATCACAGTCAATTTCATCCAGAGCAGCAATACAATCTGATCTGTTGTACAGATCGTGCCAGCTGCTGGTCTGACAGCCTTTTGGTGGTTTTCTCAAACAACAAAGAAAAAACATCTTCCCCACATAAGAAGCAGGACCTTACCCTAAGATATGTTTCTGAAGCCCCTCATTATATCATGTAACTGCTGTGATGCTCATCTTTTTATCTATCCGCCCATTCCAACGGCAAAATAAAAGATGTTCATGTTATTTTAGACTCAATGTCCTGCAGTTTATTATCTTTACTTCAACTTTGGATTTTTGTTTTTGTTATAAACTAATTATATAGACCAGGAGTGACAAACTCAGGTACAGCTGGGGGCCAAAATTCAAAATGCGATCCAAGCCATGAATTTCTGTCAATACTTATTGAAGATAAAAAACAAGTTATTATAAAAATACAAATGAACTTTGCCAAATGATGTTTTATGTAGCATCTATGGATAAAGAAAAACCTTTTTTAGAAAGATTGGTCATTAGCGTTCACTTCTTATGCTTTACGCTCTGCAAACTCATTTTTCATTTATTATATCGTAGAGATACATTTTATCACAATCCAGCAAATTGGGTACAAAAATAAAATCCTCACTAAAAATCCAATTGTCCACAGTATATTAAGAATTGAACACAGCACAAAATAATCACAGTTGATTCTCTGTTGCCCTTTCCAGACCAAAATTTAAAAAATACTGAAAAACTCAAACTTCATTTTCTTGGCAAAAAAAATTGACCAGAGAGGAATTAATGACAAAAAATAAATCACAAAACTATTTTACCTTGTGCCTTTAGTTTGACCTGTGATATAGACCATATATTCCAGAATGTGTGTGTTTTACCCTATTGCTGTTTCTTTAAGTAAATTTTGTACATTAACTTTTACACGTTTTAATAAAAGTATGGGCTGGACTTTGAATTTTATTTTATTTTTTCCACAGAGGAAAACTGCACTTACTTCAGGCACTTCAATCCAGGGCAAGATGCGGAGATATTTGAATATAAAACACAAAAAGGTATGATGACTTTCTTTTAATCTTGTTTGTACATTTGAGGGGGAAAAAAAAGAATTTTCTGAATTTATTTTTTAATATGTCTCATAATGTGTGTGAAATGTAACATATTTCTCTCTGCTGTTCACTGGGCGGGCACAGAATCATACCAACAATTTGGTTTTCATGTATCTCTTGTGGACTTGTTGTGCAGCTGAGTGAAAGTTACTGTGCAGAAAGACACACATTGCACCACATTACCTCTTTGCACAAACAGACTCACTAGTTTTGCACTGCAGCATACAGTACAGATCTTAGTTTTTGTAGTGTGACTAAATGCCTCTAGTAATCGTTAAAGACTGCGATTCATTAAAGTTGCAGGATTCACAACTAAATGCTAACATCGTTTTAGAAACGCTCCATTAGAGAACAGCACAAAAGATGTCCGGTTCACACAATCAATGTTTCATGATGCTCCAGTCTTGCTCCACCCCCTTCCCATTTCCTTCATCTTCCATCCTTCCATCCACACTTCAGTGACCCTGACAGATCTGGGACCCCTCTGAGCCTCCGTATGTGTGAGGGGGATGGTCTGCGGT